GAATGAGTATGCCTGTGTTCCAATAAAACTTTATAAAAACAGATGGTGGGTTGGATTTGCTCCATGGGTCATAGTTTGCTTATCCCTGACCTCAACCCTACTACTGTACCTCACTGTAGTTGTCATGGCAAATATGCAAGAGATTTAGTGAGAGATTATGGTAAGCTAGTTACTTTTACAAATATGTATTATTGCCATTATTTGTTTAAAAATATGGTTTCCAACTATATTATAGTTGGAAACCTCATGATAATATCACTCTATTTTGCAATGAATTTTATTGTACTAAGAAAATAATTACTTTAACCAGTGAGGACAAGGACTTTATCTATCTCGTTGTTGTATTCTCCCAGTGTCCAATAAGCACTAGTTGGAAGGATGGGAGGAAGGGAGGAAATTAACAGCTGGGGACTAATCAGCGGGACTAAACAGAAAAGTGGCAAAGAAGTAGGGAGGAGAGGGAACACAGGAAAGAGAGGACGGAAGAGGAGGCGTTTTCAAATACTGCACGCTCTCAACTATATTATAGTTGGAAATCCCATGATAATATCACTCTATTTTGCAATGAATTTTATTGTACTAAGAAAATAATTATTTTAACCAGATTGTGATATAAAGATTTCGTTCCATTGTGAAATAATAGTGCTTCTAGTGGGTTGATTTAAGTCTTCTAAATGCTTAAAAAAGGCTCTTTCCCCCCCCAACAACCTCCTGTCTCCTTTTCAGTTATATAGCTAAATTTAAAATTTTAATTAATATACTTGTGATGTTTAATTGCAGATGTGGATGCCACCTGCAGTGACTTTAATTTCGGAACAGCGCTGCATATTGCAGCGTACAACTTGTGCGCAGGTGCTGTGAAATGCCTGCTGGAGCAGGGAGCTAATCCCGCATTTAGGGTAAGAGGTTAAATTACAAGTGAAGAAAGAATATTAGAAGAATTTAAATTAAAGAATTTGAAAGTCTTATATTATCTTCCAGTAGAGTATTGAATCTGGATGTTGTTATTAATAGAAGAACTCTTATATGAGCGAGTAATTTATATTTCTGTGTCACACATAAAGAGTAATGATAATAACCTTTATCTTAAACAAATGTAAGGCATAACAGTGGGTTTCAATCCTCTTATATTGATAAGTTCTACAAAATTTACTTCTGTTCAGGAAAGTAATCCTCCTTAAAGTATCATGATCTTTGAATTTAAGTATCTTTCACTTAGGCTTTTGATATATTTATGAAAAGTTACCTCTTAAATATAAGCTCATATATCAAAGTTAACATTTTTTCTATTAAATCACATTTTAAGTTTTTCTCAAAGAAAATTCATTCCAGGAAGTTAAAACAAATTCACATTTAAGAATGGAGTAAATCTTTGAAAATGAATGTTTAAAGGAAAAATATATTTTTTTCATAGTAATAATGCCACTGATTTACAGAGTTAACATACAGGATAGAATTTCATAATCTTCAGATCCTTTGGTATTTTTTTGTTTTGAGAAAGTGGTTCTCAGTTTTCATTTCCCTCACATTACTAACCATGGCTTGCTCTGGCAGGGCTTCTTAATTGGGTCTGTGCCCTCCCTTGGAAGAGTAGGCATGCATGGGCGGAGGCGAGAGCGTGCGGTATTTGAAAACGCCTCCTCTTCCGTCCTCTCTTTCCTGTGTTCCCTCTCCTCCCTACTTCTTTGCCACTTTCTGTTTAGCCCTGTTGATTAGTCCCCAACTGTTAATTTTCTCCCTTCCTCCCATCCTTCCAACTAGTGTTTATTGGACACTGGGAGAATACAACAATGAGATAGATAAAGTCCTTGTCCTCACAAAGAATATAGTCCAGGGAGGCAGGGCAAGGAAGCAGTCGCTTTGACTATTTGTGCTAAAGTTCAGTGTGACACAGTGGAGTGGGGGTGGCACAGAAAGTGGGGGTCATGCTTCAAGGGAGGGGCCTCTCCCAAGGGCTTCAGAGAGGTGACATCTAAATCGAGTGATTAAACACAGGCAGGAATTGCCTGTGGGGAGGTGAGAAAAGCATTTTAGGCAGAGAGAGTAGCATGCAAGAAGCCTAGGACATGGTAATTCGACGTGGCTGGCATGTTTGCTTTTGCTAGGACAACTGTTGGCAAAGCCCCGTAAGTGGGGATGATGTTTTGAATTCAGTAAGATTCCGTGAGGTATGTCATTGAGCTAAATTACCAATTCAGGCCAGAAACAAATTAGATTGCCACATTTTGAAAGTTAATACTTAAAAAGCAGCCACCGTGCGGTTCAGCAGTGGCCCTCAGACTATACTTGGACAGCCACTATTTAGAAGATGGAATTCTGTGATTAATCATGAATGAGCCTTCTTATGTTAGGAAGGGATCATCATTGTTCTTTTATTATCATTATTGCTATTTAGTTTTTTGTTTTTTTGGGGTTTTTTTTTTTTTTTTTTTTGGTGCCATGACTCGGATTCTAACCAATATTTAGTTTTCTTAACAGAAGTTTCAATTGTTAAATTTTATGGGAATTACCAGAAGTATGTTACTGGCTCTAAAAAGTGAGGACATAACAAAAGTCTAAAGTAAAATATTCATTTTAAATATAGCTTACAACTTATCAGTCGAGGTGGTTTTTAAACAGATTTTCTCTCTTAGTACATATTAGTGCCATACATCAAATATAATCTTCATTGTATTTTGTATTTTTTCTTGAAATATGGTATTAAAAGAGTCCATCATCATCCCAGAAATCTGATAACATGTCTTCCTACTATATTTTTACTTGGGACCAAACTGACTTGAATTTTAAAACAACAGTGTGAGGCAGTTGCAAGCTAAGTGTGTTCCAAAAGCCTCTTTCTTTTATCTATGTGGATCTTCTGAAGATTATCAGCAGTGAAGAAGAAAGGGAAAAAAGTTTCTCAGTTAACAAAAGAATCTTCATTTATCGTATTAGAAGGAGATTATAATCTGGACCCTTTCTCAGGCTAAGGTTTTGGTTAGGAGCGTAGGAAGACAGAGAATTTATGTGATAAGCTTTGATTATGTAAACACCATGCGAGTGACAGTGGGATTATAACTGGCCATTTTGTTTTGTCACAGTATAAATCCCAGGATAGTCTTGCATTTAGAGTGAGAACAGAGCTGTTTTCGTGATTATAGCCCCAATTTTGGAATTATGAAACTCTAGTTCCTGTTTCCTTTTTAAGAGATGGGATCTTGCTCTGTCACCCAGGCCAGAGTGCAGGGGTGTGATCATAGCTCACTGCAGCCTCGAACTCCTGGGCTCAAGCCATAGTAGTCCTGAGGAGGCTGGGACTAGAGGCGCATCGCCACACCCGGCTACATAGTTTCTATTTGTGAAGTCTGAGTTCCGTGGGTGGGCAGGAGAGATCGCAGAGCCAAGGTGGCGACAGTGAACAGTTGGGTCTGGGGTTGGGAAGCCAGTCGGTCCTGTGACTTCTGTTTCCAAACTTGCCTACTCTGTGCCTTTGCAGCCAGGGTGCTCTCCACTCGTGGCCTGAGCACCTGCCTGTGCACGCAGGGCTGTCCCCCACCAGGTAACCTGCACGGCTGCTCCCTCGGCTCCCCTGGGTCTCTGAACGCATCTGATCAGCGAGGCCTCCCTCACCACTCTGTATAAATGGCTCCCCCTACAACCACCTCTGTCCCCCTGTTTTCTGTTCCCCTTCCTTCCCTGCTTTGTTTTTTTCCTCTAGGCCAATTGTTACCATTTATTATGCCATATAATTTACTTGTTTTATTTTTTATGGTTTGTATGTCCCACCAGAATGTGTGCTCTTTGAGGGTAGGGCCTTTTTATTTTCTTCACTGCGGTTTTCTTCAGCACCTAGGATGGTGCCTGGCATATAGTAGGTGTTCAGGAAATTTTTTAAAATAAATAAACGATGAATGAATTTAACTTAAAATTACTCCAACAAGAATTTTATATGACTGTCTAGTGCTCTAAGTACGTAAGAGTTAAGAATTTTTCTCTTGTCTTTGTTTGTAGAATGACAAAGGACAGATCCCTGCTGATGTTGTCCCAGACCCAGTAGACATGCCATTAGAAATGGCTGATGCTGCAGCAACTGCCAAAGAAATCAAGCAGATGCTACTAGATGCGGTGCCTCTGTCGTGTAGTATCTCAAAGGCCATGCTTCCAAATTATGATCATCTTACTAGCAAGGCAATGCTGACGTCGCTTGGCCTAAAGTTAGGGGATCGTGTTGTTATCGCAGGACAGAAGGTATAGTAAGTCACTGCAATCTCTGAAGCCGTGTCCAAGGTCCTTGTGTCTGTGGCCTGTGTTCAAGGGAGCATACAGTATGGTCAGAGCTTTGAATTTTTTAAAAAATGTTCCAACATATAGCTAGAAAGATAATGGAAAATGTGAAACTTAGATGCAAATTTGCTACAAGGTTTTAATACGATCTAAGAATACAAACTATTTGAATTTAATGATGAAGACATCTTTATTTGAATAAATAGTGGAACTGTTGAGTGGATGTAGAGGCGTGAGCTGAGGAGTGGTCTAGCCTGGAGGGTTTTCCTCGCAGCCCCCAACAGTGCTTCTCCGACTGCCACTACTCCTCTAAAGTGGAGCACAGGAGACCCCAGCTGTTCGTGGGTGTTTGTCTTTGAGATCCCACAAATAGGGAAGTCTGAAATATTATATAACCTGATAACAGATTTATGTGGAAAAGAGGACTCCTCCTACTCCCACCATCCCATTAAAAATTCTCCGGACATCTCTTTTTCTACAAGCTTCAGTTTCCATATAGCAGTCACTTGTTGCCAGTTTTTTCTTTTTTTTTTAATACCTCATATAGGAAGTGTTTTTGTTTCTGTTCTTAATGTTGAGGTTAGCAGGGAGCTTGGTATGGAGAATGGAACAGGGCATTCCAGCTGGCGTATTGAATTTCCCAATACGGTTACATCTCAGTATTTGGGTGGTCTTGTGGAAAGGGGGAGGCAAGTTTCTGAGAAAAAACTGAAATTTAGAGGTTTGATTTATTGAGAAAATTGCTTCAGAACAGAAAAAAACCTACAAACAAGGTGTTATGTTAAGAAAATGACATTCACCAACTTACAAAATGATGCATTTATAGGACATTTTTTAGTTTTTCATTGTCTTGTCTGTGGAGCTAAAATATCAAGGAATTACAAATGCATACCTTTTTTTTTTTTTTTTTGAGACAGAGTCTGGCTCTGTTGCCTGGGCTAGAGTGCCTTGGCGTCAGCCTAGCTCACAGCAACCTCAAACTCCTGGGTTCAAGCGATCCTCCTGCCTCAGCCTCCCGAGTAGCTGGGACTACAGACATGCGCCACCATGCCTGGCTAATTTTTTCTATATATGTGTATATTTTTAGTTGTCTAGATCATTTCTGTCTATTTTTTAGTAGAGACAGGGTCTCGCTCTTGTTCAGGCTGGTCTCGAACTCCTGACCTTGAGCGATCCACCCGCCTCGGCCTCCCAGAGTTGCATACCGTTTTTAAATTTAGGATTAATATTCACCTTCTGTAGTCTTTTTGTATTGTGTCTGAGAATGAATTTAAGAGTTCTATTGTTTTATTTTACTTTTTATTTTGGATAATTTTAAACTATACAAAAGCAGAAGCATGTATGATGAATATGCTTATACTATTAATAATCAACTAGGTTTAATTTTATCAATTTATGGAAATCTTGTTCTGTTTATATTTTCTCTCAGTCTGTTGCTTGTCTCTCTTCATTTTCATAAGGGTATCATTCAAAGAGCCGACGTTTTAAATTTTGATGAAGTCAACTTTTTTCTTTTATGGATTGTGTGTTTAGTATCATATCTAAAAAATATTCTGTGCTCATCGAGAAGTTTACAGTTTAGGTTTTATGTGTAGTTTTATATCATATAGATTGAGTTTCTTTTTTTCTTTTCTTTTTCTTTTTGCATATGGTTATGTATTTGTTCCAGCACCATTTTTTGAAAAGACTATTCTTTCCCCATTGAATTGCCCTTGCACCTTTCCAACAATGGACTGTCCGTATATGTGTGGGTATATTTCTGGATTCTACTCTGCCCCGTTGACCTAAAGACTACCCTTTCTCCAATACTGTCATGGTTATTGTTGCCCGATAGTGAGTCTTGCAGTCAGGTAGTGTTAGGCCTTTAATTTTTTTTTTCCAAAATTGTTTGACTATTCTAGTTCCTTTGCCTTTCCATGCATTTTAGAATCACCTTGTAGATTTTTATTAAAAATCTTGCTGGGATTTGAATAGGGTTGTGTTGAATCTATAGGTCAGGTTGAGGAGAATTGACATCTTAAAAATACTGAGTCTTTGAATTCATAAGCACAGTATATCTATTTTTATGGTTCTTTGGTTTATTTCATCAGGGATTTGTAGTTTTAAGCATACAGATATTGCATATGCTTTGTTAGATTTATATCTAAGTTTTTCATGATTTTTGGTGCTATTGTAAATGGTGGTGTTTTTAAAATTTCATTTTCCAATTGTTTATTGCTAGTATATAGAAATACAGTGGATTTTTTTAATATTGTCTGTGTATTCTGTAAGCTTGCTAAATTTATTAGTTCTATTGGCCTTTTTTTTTGTGGATTCTCTGGGCTATCTATGTAAACAATCATGTTTTCTGAGAGTAGGGTAAGCTTTCTTTCTTTCCAATCTATATACATTTTGTTTATTTTTCTACCCTATTTCATTGCCTAAGACCTCCAGTAAAAAAATGATAGGAGTGATAAGGGCTGATGATGTCTTGGTCTTATTCCCAGTCTTAAGGGGAAGACACTCAGTCTTTTCATCATTAGGTCTGATAACTGTTAGCTGTAGATTTTGTGTAGATGCCCTTTATCAAGTTGAGGAAGTTCTCATCTATTCCTAATTTGCTGAGAGTTTAAAGAAATTATTATCATGAAAGGATGTTAAAATTTTCTAAAGACTTTTTCTCCATCTGCTGAGATGACAAGTCTTTTTTTTTTCCTTTTAGTCAGTTGATATGATGAATTACATTGATTGATTCTCAAATGTTGAACTAGTCTTGCATTCCCATGATAAACCTCACTTGGTCATGATGTATCATCCTTTCTGTATATTGCTGGATTTGATTTGTTATTATTTTGTTGAAGATTCTTGTGTCTGTGTTTTTGCTGGATATTGGTCTGTATAGTTCGCTTATAATGTCTTTGATTTTGGTATCAAGGTAATGTTGCCTTCATAAAATGAGTTGGGAATTGATCACTTTTATGTTCTAGAAGAGTTTGTATAGAATTATTACTTTTTCTTTAAATTATTTGGTAGAATTCACTAGTGAAGCCATCTGGGCCTAGAGGGTTTTTGTTTTGTTTCATTTCTTTTCTTTCTTTCTTTCTTTTTTTTTTAGGTTTTTAACTGCAAATTTAATTGAGGTATGAGCTTTGGCAGTTTGTGTCTTTCAAGGATTTGGAGCAATTCATCCCGTTTGTCAAATTTATGGGCAGAAAGTTGTTCGTAGTATTTTCTTACTATCTTTTTAAATGACTCAGGGTCTGTAATAACGTCCATTTTTCATTTGTGATGTTTGTAATTTGTCTTCTCTTTCTTTTTCCGCCCTTGGTCTCCAGCTAGAAGTTTATTAATCTTTATCATTCCAAAGAACCTGCTTTCAGTTTCACTGATTTTTCTCTATTGTTTTTCTGTTCACAATTTCTTGATTACTTCCTTCCTTTTGCTTCACTTTCTAGTTTGTTAAAGTAGAAATTTAGATTATTGACTTGAGACCTTTTTAAATATAATCAATTAATGCTATAAATGTTTCTCTAAGCACTGCTTTTGCTGCATTCCATAAGTTTTGATAAATTATCATTTTCACTGAGTTCAAATTATTTTCTAATTTCCCTTAAGACTTTTCTTCTTTCCCCCATGGGATATTTAGGAATATATTGTTTCATTTTCAAATATTTGGAGATCCCCATATATTTTTCTGTTAGTGATTTCTAGTTTAATTCCATTATGGTCTGAGAACATACTTTGTATTATTTCTGTTCTTTTACATTTGTATTCTCCTGTTTTGGGCAGAATGTTTTGTAAGTGTCAGTTAGGTCAAGTTGTTTTATAGCTGATTTTAAACCGATTTTCTACCTACTTGGTCTGTTGATTACTAAGAGAGGTGTATCGAAGTCTCCAACTGTAATGTGGGTTTGTCTATTTCTCCTTTCAGTTCTATTGGTTTTTACTTCATGTATTTTGAAGCTCAGTTGTTGGGTGCATACACATTTAGGATTCCTAGGTTGTCTTGTGAATTGACTCCTTTATTATTATTTGATGTCCCTTTTTATCTTTGGTAATGTCCCTGTTCTGAAGTCTACTTTGAGAGAGTGAGTTTTTAAAAATGTCCATGGTAAAGTAAATTTGCAAGAGTAGGACTCTTGGAATTACTAATAATACTCAAAAGTTATTCTGATTTATGTTTTCTTTAGGTTGGGACATTAAGATTTTGTGGAACAACTGAATTTGCAAGTGGGCAGTGGGCTGGCATTGAATTGGATGAACCAGAAGGAAAAAACAATGGAAGTGTTGGAAAAGTCCAGTATTTTAAATGTGCCCCCAGATATGGTAAGGTTGATATTATTTAACCTAGCAAGAATTAATTAAAAATAACTATTTTACTCTTTTATAGTCTTTATATAAAACTTTTCTCTTGGTTACTTAGGTAATAAATGAAGGCAATGTGGATTTGGGGAGGACTTTTTAAAGACAGGATATAGTTGTGGCATGTTTATTCACATTGATGGGAATGATACAAGGGAGGGAGAAATCAAGGTTTCAGGAGAGAAAGTAGAAATTGTAGGAAGAATGTTCTTAAAAAGTTAAAAGGAGAATGGGATTCAGTATAAGGGTTAGCCTTGTATTAGATCAGGCACAGAGGAGAGGGGAGAGAGGTAGTTGGATGGGGAGGTAATTCTCTTTGGATTGTTTATTTTCTCAGAAAATATGTAGTGAGGTCATTAGCTGATCTTAGGAGAGGGAAGGGTGGTTGGAGGTTTGAGGAGAGAGAAGGTGTGAAGTACTCATCTAGGAGGGTGAGAACGTGAGTAGTTCAGGGAAATGTAGTGGACAGCCAAGCAGTGCTGAGGGCCCATCTGAGATTTGTGGTCATGAACTTAGAGTGAGACCAGTGTGCGTGGTTAGTGTCTTTCTTCAGTCATATTAAGCTGCTTCGGTATAGGTACTGCGTAAGTAAAGAGTTTGGTTTCACTGGGGTTGGTTTTTTCTAGAATATGCATTAGAAGGAAAGAGGCAAAGGAGTTGAGGGTGTATGCAAGGGAGTGATTAGAACACTGGATCATGGAGTCTAAGCCGGTTAGGGAGGAAGATGAGGACGTGATGGGGAAGATGGGCTGTGAGAAAGCGGTGGGACCGGTCATCTCGAGGAGGTGGAGAAGCTGAGTGTGGGTGCTGGAGCAGGGCGTCTGGCGTGGCCGGAGACGGTAGATGCTCTCGGTGAGAATTCTGGAGTGGAGAGGTTGTGATCAGCCTGCTGAGCGGGGACGGAGGGAAAACTCACAGGGAGCGAAGCACTTACGGAACCGGCAGCCAAGGTGTTAGGCGGCTGTCTGGGTGGACATTGAAGTCACCACGAGTGGGGACAGGAGAGTGAAGGAGAGTAGGGCAGGGAGCCAGCTAGCTGCAGAGGTTTTCTCTGAATGAGTGAGTAGTAGTGACTCTAAGTTGAGTTGGTGGCTTCCAAAAGGAGAAGTAGTAGGTAGAACAGTCTGGTGGCATATGCCTCAAATAGCTTCTCACTCTCTCACACTCTCTCTCTCTCTCTCTCTCTCTCATTTTTTCTTGGAGAAGTAAATGTGAAGATGGCTGTGATGGCAAAAACAAACAAAATAACCACTTTACCCTCTCATGGCTAGTGTTAGGTGATGGTGCGGGACACACAGCTGCTGCATGAGAGTGCTTCAGGGAAGCGGCGTCTTCAGGAGAGGGCCAGGTTTCAGCTACAGGGAAAAGGCGAAGGGGCACTCAGACCAAGGAGGGGCTGTGACTGATGTGAGACCATGAGTTTCCGAGGTCATGATACAAAGGTTTGGAGGGTGTGGGGAGCGTTGGGTTATTGGGTCAGGTTAGTGGATTTAGGGAAACAGTTGACAGGAGGCTTAGGCATCTGGTAGTGACCAAGACTGTCTTGATGGTCTTTTGGGGAAAGCGTTTTTCCTTGCAGTTGGTCTCTTGGGTGGTTTTAGTGGGGAGACAGTGATGATAGTGGTGCTAGCAGAGAGGGGTGCTCTCATTAGCAGAGTATGAGCTGTGGGCTGGCCGTGATCCTTGCTGTGAGCAGTGCAGTGATTGGGAGGAGGCCTCCCTGCAGGAGCCCACCCCGCCCTGTAGGCCTCCCTGAAGTCCTACTTTCCCTGGTGTGGTGCCTGGGGGAGGGCCTCTGTTATTGGGGAAGTACAGAGTCTGGAGGTCGTGAAGAACTTGAGAAATTGGAAAAGCAAGTACGGCCACCTTTATGACTGTACTCCTGAGCTGGGATGATTCTTTCTCTTTCTCACAAATGTTTAATCAAATTCACACACACATCACTATTCTGCGTGTTGATTTCCATTATGTATCGTGTCACTTCTATGTTGTGAACATTTTTCCTTGCGCTGAAATATTCTCCATGACGTTATTCTCCATGATTGCACAGTATTTCATCTCACAGCCCAGTGGGGAGGCCATGTAGCGTAGTGATGAATGGGGGGACTTTGGCATCCTACTGCTTGGGTGTGAACCAGTGCCTCTGCCTGCCAGCCACGTGACCTTTCTCTCTGCATGCGCCTCAGTTTGTCTTCTGTAAAATGGGGATAGCACTCTCATGAGGATTCATGCACGGATTCCACGTGTTGATAAATGTGTGGAGCACCTAGAACAGAGCTTGATTCCCTGTGAACACTCAAGTGTAAGCTGTTGGCGAGCTGTAACAAATTTACCAAAATTACAAATTTCCTGTCATCACACACTTAGGAGGGAATCTCATTTTTTGGTTTGTTAAGACATTTTTTGTTTATGATAAATGCTCATTGTATAAGATTTGAAAAATATAAAAAAAGGAGAAGAAAATTAAAATTCTACATTTTTACTTGATATCCTCCCTAAATCCTTACGTATTATTTGAAAATGTGATTTTTTAATGGCTCTGTTTCCTTTAATTTTTCCAATTTGATGTGTGAATATTTCTATGTTTGCATTCATATTTCTGATTATGGTTAAATAGAACATTTAAAATGTTTTGTTGTAGTATGTGTATTTTTTGTATTTTCTTGACAATTACCTGTTCATTTTATTTAATTGGGATATTAGTGGGTTTTTTTAAGAAACTGATGAATTTTAAAAAATACATGTTTAGTATATTAAGCTTTTATATTTATTATAGATAATTTGCCCAGTTTGTCATTTGCCTTTGAACTTCATTTGTAATGTTTTTTTGACATACAGTTTTATGCAGTTAAAAGACTTTTACTTGATAAACTCTTATGTTGCTTTTATGCTTTGATAATTCTTCCTACTCCAAGGATTAGTTATAAATTATATATGTTATTCCTTTGAATGTTTTAATTTTTCTTTTATTTTTAGTTGACATAATAATTGTATGTATTTATGA